AAGTTTTCTGAAAAGAAAAGAGAGCTGTCTCGGCATCCTCAATCTCAAGAAATGCAGACGAGGTGATAGACGATAATGCCTGCGATAAACCTTCCCAATTGCAATTCCGAAAATCAAGTTTTAATAGTAGACATGGACTACCTTGAGTAGATATATTGGGAAAAGAGGACTGCAGTAAGAAATGACATGAATTTCCAATAGCAGGAGATAAACACAAATCAGGCGTCGTCCATTCATTTGGATAGTAGATATTATCGAGCTTAGAGTTATGAACTGTTGTAGGCAAAAGAGTGGATGGTGCTAGCTGAAATAGACTGACAGTCTCACACAGTCCACGGTAGAGTAGCGGATGTGATACGGGGTCTGAATTAAAATCCCCACAAAGAATTAGAGAATCACGTGAACCATTTACGTGTGACAACAAGAGACTTGTCAGTCTATCATAGTACAGAACATCAGCCCCAGGCTTTCGATAACATGAACAAAGAAATACAACCAAAGAATGAAAAACAAATTTAAGTAAAATACATTCTAAATCGGAAGAAGATGCTACAAGAGAAAAAGAGATAGAGTTTGGAACATAAGTAGCTAAACCCCCTTTAGAATTTGACACACCTGTTGAGATAATTGTGAACTCCAAATTCTCTTGGTGTCTTTCTCGAAGGTAGTATCCTTTTTTGATTCTTTCACAAATGAGTTCTGTTTGAGTATCTAGTGGCCGAAAAAGCGATTGTAAAATTAAATTTAAAATTGTATCAAGTTTAGTTGTATATTTACATATATTGCTCTTTGTTTATGAAGCAAAATAAGTTATATTTTCGTCGTCTTGGTTTATCCACAGTTGATTTTGTATTAAGTTATCATTCGATATGTTTGAATGAGTATATGTGTACACACTCTAGTCTTCGTTAAAGATACGTAGTATATAACTTATGCTACTAAGAAAACATAATTTGTGGGCGAAGTCATTCTAAGAATGAAAATCAAACTTGTTTTGTGACGATTGATCACGTTTTTGTTCTAATACCGAAGGCATTTGCTGTCAATGCAATGATTTAGCAATAATCATAAATTTCGTTAGGATAAAAAGGTGGGAATCTGTTGCATACCATCTGCGATTTGAAAAGCAAATGTGAAGATCTTTATGTTGAAGAAACTGCGATTATGAAAGTAAGGATCAATAAAGAATACAAGTACAAAACGAAAATAGCTAACTATGAACGAATGATGAATAATAAAATACTCAGAAAAAAGTTTCACCAGAAGGAAAAGAGTGGATTCTAAATTGAAATCTTGCTGTAGAAGAGCACATTTGAGTTCAAACTAATGAACAGTCTCAGTTTGTGTGTTAATCTCATAAATGGAAAATAAGCTATCTAAGAGCTTAGTGTAAATGTCTAAGAAATAAGATTATGCAACGGACGTTATTAAAGAAACTACTTTAAGAAGGAATATTGGCAAGAAACTTCTTACAAGAATGATGTTCGCGTAGCAGAATTAATGCAATTGGAACTGGGTTTATATCTTTTGCTCACTAACGAACAAGTGCTTGTTGCAAACGAAAAAATATAGTATATTTATTTTGGTCCTTTCCACTCCGACTTCTTCAACCATGTTTCAAACGTGTGTAGTTGGACTAACTGTTTATCAGTCGATGTTTGCTGCCGCCCTTGACTGTATTGTTCGATGTATTTAAACAATGTATAAAGTTGATCATTCGAATGATCGTTTTTGAACTCTTGTTCGTTTATTGTTATTGTTTGCGCGTATCTTCCTGTCACTTGTGTAAATATGGTTGATATGTGTTGAAACTCTATTAATTCACCACACACTCGTATTGTCTGATGCACATAAACGTCTGGTTTATTCAATAATTCAATAACAACTCGTCCTATGTCGTCAATATCAACGAGATTCAATAATGTTTCTTGTGATACTGGTAGACGAAATTCAATCATATCATTCTCAGTCGATTTTCGTGCAAAACCGAATAATGGCCAGTATTGAATAGGAAACTCAGCTGGCTCTATATAAATCGCATTCATCTGAGGATATGTTTCTTGCACATAAGTACGAAGTTTGGCTTTTGATTCAAATGTTGGTACGCTTCTGCAACAAATAAAATTAAAAGACAAAATAGATAATATTAATTATACGCACAGTTTTCCTTGACTTTTATCATAAACATTTTCTTGAAAGCTCAGTAAGAAATACGGTATTTCTAACTGTGCGACTGTATCGACTATCAGTCGTCCTTGCTTTACTTCTGAATCATATTTATTCTGAATTGACGAAAAGTCAAGATTGAAACACACAAATACTGCCCAGCTTGAGTGAAATGTTTGTCTTAATTGATTAGGATTGGTTAGATCGCAGTTAACAATTTCCAACCGATCAGTGCCAAATACATGCTGGGCAAGCGGTTGAAGTTTTGCGCTGTTTTTATCTCGTGTCAAACACCGAACCTAGAAACAATAGATGAAAGCAATTGTTATGTGTAATGTAGATGGGAAATATAGTATACCTTGTATTTTCCACATTCAAGCAATGATCGAACAACAGCTTTTCCTTGCGCATTTGTACTACCAACAACTGTCACTACTGGTAAATACGATGACATCAGTATATTTGTTATTCCTCTCGTTTCTAATGATAGTAGTTCTTTTTCTTACTATTCTGTGCAACAAGGACGAAGAAGAAAATATCTGACATTCTATGTACATTCATAGTATATATGTACCTATATATTGCATGTAAAAAGTTTTCTTTTTTCTACTCACAAGACATCTTATTATCGTACAATATCATATACAGAAGAAAACGTACATCGTTATAATCACTGCCTAACGTATGATGCAAAAGTTCTTTTTACTTTTTTTTGTTTCCACTGTTGCTTTCTTCCAAAACATCAGGAAGGATTCATTGTTTTCCCGTTGGGAAGACCGAAATGTGAACTTCCAGAAAACATATAAAACAAAACTTTTGTTGATTAAATTGAGTAAAAATAAAAATGTCGCCAAAAAAGCACTTGTAATTTCTTTTGCATTCTTTAAGGGGGGTCCCCCCATTTAGATTTTTCTCTAGCGTTCCCAGTTTGTAGAGGATACTTCGAAGTATATGTCCTGAAGTTTTTTCGGCTTACTGACGTTATTTGGCTGAGAAAAAAATTAATTACTTAAA